AGAGAGAGAGAGAGAGAGAGAGAGAGAGAGAGAGAGAGAGAGAGAGAAAGGGGTGGAGAGGAATACATTTTTATACTTAAGACATTCCACTGTACCAGAAAAATAGTGTGGTTTTCACTGACTTTTTTCTTGTTTCTCTGCAATGGAGAAGAGGAACAGTTTTGTAGAAGGGTGGTGGGCCGAGAGGCTGCAAACCAGAGAGCTACCAGAAAGCTGATAGCTATTATTATCTGTTACCTTGAACCATAGGCTTCTAGAGGTGAAAAAGGCCTTAGGGATCACTTAGTCAAACCTTCACGTTTTGCAAGTGAGGAAACTGAGTCCCAGAGAGGGGGAGGTAACTTGGGGGGGGGAGTGTCACACAGCTTTCCTTTCCCTCAATTTTTGGCTTCCAAGGAAGCTTAGCAAAAGTGCAAGAAAAAGGGAGGGCTCCCAGGAGGTGCTTCTGATGTCTGTGTTTGAGCTCTGGAGCATGATTGAGTGGCATGGAATGTGAAAGCTGGAAGGTCCTTCGAGATCAGCTATGATAACCTTTTTAATGTGATTCTCTTATGCTAGTTCAGATTAGAGTCATCTGTATTTGTGTCTTGGGATTATAGCATCATAGATTTCAGGCTGGAAGTGACCTTGGACATGGTTTAGTACAGTCCCTCATTTGATTTAGAGACTTGGCAGCAGGAAGACCTGGGTTCTAATTCTGCCCCAGACACTTACTAGTTGCGTGACCCTGGGCAAGTAGGTACTTAATAAATACTTGTTAATTGATTGAAGGAAGGAAAGAATTGAGCCCAATTACTTCTTTTACAGGTGAGGAAACTGAGACTAGGCCATGGTGTGTAGTGGAAAGAGCCCTTTGAATAGCAAGAGTCAAAGGGCTTGGGTTTGAATCCTGGTGCTGCTCCTTATATGTGTGACCTTTGGGCAGTTTCTGCCCCTCTCTGGGTCTCATTTTCCTTATCTCTAAAACAAAGGAGACTTGGCAAATTGGACCCTAAGGTCCCTTCCAGACCTACATCCAATGTCCTGATGTCTGAAATCAAACAGCAAGCTAGGGGCTGAGCCAGGGCTAGGTGTTTCTCCTTGACTCCTAAGCCAAAGTTCTTTCTAGTACATTTCCTCCCAGACAAACCCCAGGAGGATCCTGGGAAATTTCAACTCTCTTTCTCTCATCTCTTCTTTCCCAGCCTCTCTCAAAGTCCAGCTTTTCCTTTCTGATTAAAGAGACTGCAGTTTTTAATATCCTTTACCTGTCTGAAGTTAAGATAGCAATGGGTGATTGAAAGACCTGTTAATTTCCAGAACATGAGGTTAATTTGGAGAGGGAGAAGGGAGGCAGAGCTCATTAGTTTATGGAGGATCAGCTCTCAAGAGGAATGGAGACTTACATAAGAGACCTGGAGAGAAGAAGAGAGAGAATAGGAGAGAGAGAATGGGGCTTGGGTGGGAGATGGTAGAGAGAGGAAGGAAGGGAGAGGGAGGAGAGAGACAGAGAGACGAGAATAGGAGGAATGCTGAAGAGAGAAGAGAGGAGGAGAGAAGAGAAGAGAAGAGAAGAGAAGAGAAGAGAGACTTCACTTTTGGATCTAGACTTGTAAAGTATCTCAGAGACTATCCAGTCCAGTCCTCTCTTTTTAGAGATGAGAAAACAAGAGACCTAAGAAGGGTAAGTGACTTGGCCAAGGTCATACATATAGACCATGTCAAGGCAGTATTTGAACTAAGGTCCTCTGTCTCCTTAGCCAGTTTTATTCAAATAGAAACAAATCCCTGGGGGCCACATATTGACTTAGAAAACCACAAATTAAAATTATTTTTAAATTTTTTTGCATTTTTATTTATTTTGTTAAGCATTTCCCAATTATATTTTAATCTGGTTCAGCAGTCCTTGGGCCAAGAGTTTGATAGATCTTTTCTGTACCGCCTCTCTTTCACCTTAGGGTGAGGTGCAGTGAGAATAGCACTGGATGCTGAGATGAGAAACAGGGTCAAAGCCCCAGTTTCCTCATCTGTACAATGTGTATAATAATAGTAGCCCTACTTACCTCAGGAGATAGATGATTGCGGAAAAAAGTATACACTAATTCAGAGATGTTAAACACCTGTCCCAGGACACTTCCAAGTGTACCAGAACCAGATTAAAATGTAATGGGAAAATATTTAACAAAATAAATAAAAATACAATAAAACAGAGTGTTACATTTTAAAACTAAGTCAGTATGCAGCTGAGAGCTTTATGTCAGTGGTTTAGTGTGAAACTACTATTCTAAATGTTAAAGAATAGTAATTATGATGATGTTCTAGCTGTCTTGTCTCCTATATCCACTAAAAATGTTTATCATAGACTATAAACCCCTTGAGGGCTCAGACTGTCTCATTCATTTTTGTCTTTGTGTTTCCACCATGGGTACAGAGTCTGACACATAGTATGCCCTTAATAAATACTTGTTGACTCCTTCCACCTCCCTCACATCAGAGTACTTACTGGTCCTCCCTTGGGATGGGTCCTCAGATGAGTCTCCTTCAGCCTGTGGATTATGGCTGTGACCAGACACTGTTTCTCAGAGAGCATC